AGGCAGGAAGTGCAGAGAGAGGGCTGGAGAAATGTGGAGAGGTCGTGACAGATCAGAAGGCCAGAGGTAATAGGAGACAAGCTAAGAGGAGCCTTTCTAAGTGACAGGTGACCAGCAATGACCAAGATGTGTGAGCATTAGCCAGGAATCCTCCAACATTCACGAAGACACCAATTTCCTATTAGTCATGCAATATAAAAGCTCAAGTTATTCTATTTGGCTGTTAAAATAATAAACTTGAAAGCCTAGAAATTTTGGGGCCCCTCAGATTGCATTTTGAAGGCTCCATCTTGGAGAGGGACCAGGAAATAATGCTTAGGACAACAGCCACCATCCTGCTGGAATGTGTCAGTCTGCAGGTCTTGGTGTGGACCCACAGAAGTTAGTACTGATTTGGAAGATACCGGTGGATCCTGAGGGGCTGAGACAGACTAGACCCCACAAGATGCCTTAAAGTGCCTCAAGGTATAGAGCGCTTGGCAAACAGCTTTCAAGAGGAAAGAGAATGCATAAGCAGCTTTATTAGAGTTGGCTGAAGATATAACTCTTTAAGATTCCCAGCGACTGGGGTAGGGGCTAGTTACATGAAAAGTGATTACCAAAATAATTACCACAGCCTGGATTTCTGAAAAGACTCAACTACCTTTTTTTTTTTTTTTTTAAGTGGGGGAGGGTATACAGTATCCTAAATCCTCAGATCCCCTGGGTAGGAACTTCCTTCCAACTCCACTACTATTCCCAGCGCCAAGTCTCTAACCTGCCTCCCGGCTTCTGAGACTGCTAGATATCCGATTTGAGGTCTGCATACTTAAGCTAGAGGGCTAGGAAAAGACAGCTTCTATCTGCCCCATGGGGCTCTACCAGTGTGAAAAAAATGTCCTCAAGGTATTTGGGAGTTCCCATTATTCTAGTAATCGGTGGGAAAAGTAATTGAAGACAGGAACTGCCTGGAGGAGTTTGTTTATTTAAATGACTTGGTTTTACTTTCTTGGTGTTGGAGAAGAATGCTTCGTGTTGTACCAGACCCTTCTGTAAAACACCTCTCCCCTCTTTTAAATGACAGTGAGAGGCATCACTGATTAAAGATCGCTTGTGTTTCAGGAGTGGGCTCTATATAGTAAATATGTAAGTTGGTGGAAAGTTGCAGCTCAGCTTCAGAAACAGTAAAGTATATTTAAAAAGTACCTTTGGACATAATGAAAGATCACAGGAGACCACATAACATCACAATAAGGGTCTCATGACATCACTGTAGGCATACCCTTGCTGCACAAAACAGACACATTTCAGTTCCTGACTGAATGTACAGCTCAAGATGTATGTTAGCTAATGCACAAAAATAAAAATTCGGCGCTTTTAGATGTTCAGGAATAATGTATGAAAACAAATGTTCAAAGTTGAATGTATGCCATTTTAAAGTTTATTTTATGGCTTATAGTTTTTTAAAGCTTGTTTTATAGTTTAAATGGGAAAAGGGAAGCTTATTTCCCTTTTTCCAGAAGATTAAGGTGTTTCTCTCTCTTTTTTCCCACGAAGTAGTCTGTCTATTTCAGCAGAAGAGTACACCGTGTGCTGTTTTGGCCTCTTGGGAACAGGACATGTTTAAGTTTGCTAGAGAGATAATGATCGCTTTTAGCAACATATGTATGTATCTCCCTGAAAGAACATCGGGATATTGGTCTGGAGAGAAAATGGCGGCGGGGGGGGGGGTTAGGGGAAAGAGAAATTCCTCAGTTTAGGATCAAAAATGGGCAATGGATAATTTAAGGTTACTTGTAGAACCACTGGCCTCCAACTGTGTATTTGTCATCTACACTTCTCCCAAAAGGAGATTTCACAACAATAAATTTACAGAACAGTCCTATGTTGTAGTTTTTTATTCTAAATCAAGAAAAGTCGCTATTTAAAAAGCATTAAGCTAGAATTCTATAGCCGATTTGTTAAAAAAAAAAAAAAGAACCCCCTGCCCCCCCCACCCACGCCCATCGCCGCCCTGTTTCTTCTTGCCATCTTATTTTGACGCAAATGGAAACAGAACAGCGTTTCAAGATCCGGCATTTCTCTGTTTCGTGCAGACATGCCGTTTTCTATGAATTTTCCCACCTCTGGGAAATGTACTTCTGAAACGTGTAATTGTTTGGGAATAAGCCAAGTGGAACTATGACGCAATTATCCCCTGCAAGTTGCCCTACAAAAAATGATGTCATTTGGTGCAGATGTAGTCACTTTTATAACACAGGTAGATATGGTAAAGCTTCCTCTACGTCGTTCCCGATTTCCCCACCCCCACTGAATGCAAGAGGCAAAGACATTTTCCGGGCTTCCTAACACTCAACTTGTCGAGAGTGGGCGCACGGCAGTGGCTCGAGTCCACCGCTCGCGCAGACGAAGAAGGACCGCTGCGCGGCGGCTAACACAGCCAAGTGTTCCCAGACCCGACGGCGAGGGAAGCCTCCTCAGGCAGGGATCGCGTCCACAGCGTGGGGCCCGCTCCCGCGGCCAGCCGGAACGTGGGGCCCCACGGGCGTGGGACAGCCCTGCCCCCACCCGGCTCCCACACCCGCTCCCGCTCCCGCGGTGCCGGAAGTGACGCGCACTGGCTGAAAGATGGCGGCATTGGCGCTCGACCAGGGGGAAGGTAAACACCCTCCGGGCCGCCGCCCGCCAGCGGGCCCCCTTGAGGCACCAGTGGGGACCGAGGGCGCCTCCCGGGCCTCCTGGCCATCTCTCGGCTTCCCACCCTTCGACCTCCCTACCCACGTGGCAGGCTTCCGCGTTGGGACGACGGCGCTTAGAGCCCCCTGCCTGCGGGCCCCGCCTCCCTGGGCGGGCCCCGGGCGGCTCTTGCCGCCCGCAGGGGGCGCGCGGCCAGGAGCGGCCCCTGGCTCGTGGCCCCACATGCCCCGCCCCTTTCCCGCCCCTTGCCCGCCTTCCTCCACCCCCGGCGTGGGTGATCCTGAGGCTCGGCGCGCTTGGGGCAGAAGCCCGGAGACGCCGTCGTCGACGCCGCCACCGTCAGCGCTTCTGCCGCTATCCGCGGCCCCTCAGTCCCTTTCCCCGCCCGCGGTCCGGAGTCGGTCCTCCCGCCGAGCCCCGCCGGGTGCCGTGTGCCCCAGGCGTTGGCAAGGCCGAGCCCGGCCCCGACGCCGTACCGCCTCTCGCCGAGCCGACTGTCTCGACTTGCGACTCAGCGCTGTCTTCTTTCCCAGGACTGGTTCCGAGGGGGCAGCAGGCGCGCAGACTCGCCCCCCGCCGGAGCGCCCCGGTCCGGCCCGGGAGTGGCCCCTTCTAGACGTTCGAAGACCCTGCCCAGTGCCGTCCGGCAACCGACCGCCCACCGTCCGGCCGCCGGCCCACTTCTTCCTGATGCAAACTGCCGTCTACTAGAGGTTGGACGGACCCCCGAGGTACGTAGCCGCCCCTGGCCCTCCGGCCTGCGGGAGCCCGTGCTTCGGCCGCGGCCCCGCGCTCGACACCGATTCGGTAGCCCTTTCTGCACAGACCCGAGTCAAACATTTGGTAGACGCCGGGACCTAATTTATCTTTGACTACTTAAATTGTTTGAATTTTAATTTTTTTCAGAGAGGAAAAAAAAAGGAAGAAGCATAATTCAGCCATTTTTTGCAGCACACAGCTGCAGGTACCATGATTATTTTATTCCTAACCCGTTCTTTCCCTTTAAAAATCCTCTTAATGCTTGAAATAGAACTATACGAAATGCGAGGCATAAAACGTGGAATCAGAAGGTCTGGGTTCGACTGGGTGACTCTGAGGAAATCGCTTACTGAGCCTTGGTTTCTTATCTGTGAAATCTAGTCACATCACAGGGTAGTGAGGACTATATGAGGCCATATATATGAAAATAATGTCTAGCTGTAAAGTGTAAAAATAAAAATGCAAGGCAATTTATTTGAGTAACCTTTGCCAGAGTGGTTAATGTAGTAGCTAACTGTTGCTGCCTCTTTATTTCTATATTATGAGTATAAGCAATAAGTAAGGAATGTCGAAGCAGTGCTGTGAATCGACTAGATATAATAGTCACGTTGCTTGGCCTTCTTCCTACGAAATGCTAACTGCTTATTTAAATAACGGTATTCTTTAATTCAAATTTAACGTTATTGTGGTGCTTTGCTTTTCATTTTTCTAGGCCACTTATTTTCTTTTTCTTACAGGCAATATTTAACACCTTCCATTTGTGTAGTCTTATATTTTCTGAATTGATATTTTCTTTTGTTAATCTGATTAAATTGTAATTCAGAAAATGCTTATAACATAAATAACCTAATTTTAATGCCTATTTTTTTTTTATCTAGGGAATAGGATGCCTGAATATCTTTACCAATGTGAAAATTGTTTTTCATGAGCTTATGATGCATTCGGATTTCTGTAATTGTTAATATATCTAGAAATGTATAGAAAACTCAACTTTTTGCCAAATGAAATAATGTTTATGTAATTTAATTCTCTTTTTTTAATCACCACAACATTGAGGTGCTCAGAAACAGTTTTTCAGTGGCAAAGGATGTTAATGTGCACTCTTTATTGCTGATTAACTTGGGGGAATAATAGGATAGTAAATGTTTGTGGTTTGAAAATTGGACTTATTTGTCAGAATTTATAATATATATGTGTAACAGATCAGTATGGGATTACCCTTACTCGACACATCAAAAATTGTAGTATGATTTGGCTTTAAAAATGGTCCACAAAAAGTGAAAGAAGCATTTTTTTAGTATATTATTTTTAGCTAACAAATGGTTTTCTTAGATTTTTCTTCTGAGATGGTTTATTCAATTTATAATCCAATACCAGTTGTCTTTTCAGAGTATGCTTTTGTGTTTTGTAAAAAGGCAGAATAATAAAAGGCGGGCGGAATTAAATTTGCCAAAGGAAGAGCCTACTTTAAAATCCTAGGGTTTTTTATACATTGGACTTACTGCTTCTCCTGAAGGTAAAATTTTCGGAAATCACTGCTTTATTGGGAATTTTAAGGTTTGCCCTCTCTTCCTTGATTTGGGTTATCTGGGGCTAAAATCTTGGAACCAGCGCTACGTTGGCTTCGTGGGTGTTCCGATGGGCCCCAAACTTGGTTTAATAATCTGTGTAAAACTGACATTGTACAATATAAAGGTGAATGGTGAAATTCATGCTAATAATTTAAATTTAAAATTTTTCTTTACTTAGGATGAATTAAACAGCAAATTAAAAAAACGCCATGACAAGTCGAGAGATACCTTAGAAGAAAAGAGAAAGCTTTATGTCTTAGTATCTTTAATGACACTTTCTACCTGCTTTGAGCGAGGCCCTGCATTTTCATTTTGCTCTGGGTCCTGAAAATTATGTAGCCCGTTGTCAAGGTTGTCATTTCCCGTTGTAAATGTTTTGAGAGTGAATAATATTAACTGTGAGGAAAATGAATCTTTAGCTTGTGAGAGGTTGAGTTAATTTATTAGCACATATCTCCTCTGAATTGAAATGCTGTACCTTGTGACAGGGTTGTTGTTTTTTCTTTTATTGAGGAGAAATGAAAGACAGTCATTGGTAAAGCATTGTAGGATAGTTTAAGCGCGCAGGCTCTGAACTCAGGCAGACCCCAACTCTACCACTTTTTAAGAATTATATCCTTGGGCAACTTAACCTCTGAGCTTTGATTTTTCTCATCTTTAAACCAGGGGCAGTTACAGAGCATGGAAAGTCGTGAGGATTAAATTTATGTATTCATCCAACAAATATTTATTAAGCACTTGTTATGTGCCAAGTGCTGTTCTTTCTCAGTTCTAGGGATACAATAGTCAATGAAACAAAACATTTTTTTTTAAAAAAAGGGAAAACCAAACAACAAAAAAGGAAGGAAAATAAGCCTTATCTTCATTTAATATACTAAGAGGAAAAATGAAGCAGAAAAAGAAAGTGTGGATTTTCTGGTTGATGGGGCGTATGGGAGGCTTTTTAAAGAGGGGATTTGAGGAAGGCTTCACTGAGATGCCACTGGAGGAAAGGCCTGAGGGGAGCCGTGTGTATCTGGAGATGGAGTGATCCAGGCAGAGGGAATGGCAAGCGCACAGCCTTGAGGTGGGTGTGTGGCTGGTTTTCAAGAAACAGCAAAACGGCCAGTATGTGTGGAGCAGAGCGAACAAGGGGGAGTAATGGGAGATAATTATTATTGATGTTTTAGGAATCACTAGAGCGGTTCTCATAGTTCATCTTTACCGTGATATATATTGTGCTGCTGCTGGTCCAAAGGTGGAAAACCTTTTCAGGATTAGAAATTTTAATTTCTGAATAAAGAAACTAGAAAAGATATTTCCTTAGATTTTCTCTTTTTAACATAAGACCTTTTAAAATTCATCTGGCTAAATTATTGAGGCAAATAAGAATGCATAGAAAATGTATACGTTGTCTCTGATAATTGAGTTTAGTCAATGATTTTACATCATTTAAAGATTTGCAGGAAATCCTTATCGTAATATCAAGACCTTCCAAAAGATTTAATTCTTGTGGAGAACTAAAGTGTTAACACTATGATATCGGTGATTTCAAGTTAGGATATATAACTTAGAAGATTTGGGGTTTTATTCCCCAATAGAGGTTTTTCCTAGAATTCTCACTGGATCCAATCTCTAAAGGCTAGGGAAGCTGTTTTCCATGACATCATCCTTGGATTACTTCTACTTGTAGTGAGGAATGAGCAGAGGAGCATTAAATTAAAATCTTCTGATGAAAAAAATAGTGTTGAAGCAGGAGTGGGGTTTTTTTTCTTACAAGGTCTCATGTATGCTAGGATGACTAAATGCTAAACATACCTGAAAAGTGAAGTAATTTGGATAATGGGTGCCAACCTGACGGCTGAAGGACCCCAGAGCCTTCCTGAAAGCTTAGTTAAATGGTCATTTGCAATTTGGTCCTGAGTTACGAGACCATTTTGATGGACAAGGAAGAATTTTCAGTATTAAACAAATTCGAGTTAACTTACACAGCCTTTCCTCCCATATTAAACATATTTCTCATTTTGAGTAAGTATATCTGAGGGTAAAATGACTGCTAACAGAGCTAATAAAATAGTCTATTTTCAGATTTTTCTTTCCTTTTAGGTGGAGAGGTTGGCCTCTTTGAGAGTGTCGAATTTAAAATTTTCACTTTATAGGTTACAGAAATTGTAAGAAATGTTATGACTCAGAAATTGATTCTATTTTTATCTGTAGTAAGCCCTTGCATTTTCTTTTTAGTGTGCAAGCATGGCATTTTCTACATAGGCATCATCTTGGGCAGGCTATCAGTTTGAGGATAAAAATAGTATGAAACAATTTAAATTTCTCATCGAAGATAAGTATATCAGCCTCTGCAGATCTACCTTTCATACTGGATAACTTAGGGTTTTGTATGAATTTTCACGCAACTTGAGGGGAGTGACTGTGATAGCATTAAGTTATCACTTATGGCACAAACATGGAGGTTAGTTTATTATGAAACATATTCTATTTAATTGTGTAGAATTTGCCTTCATATCAGAATGGCAGCCTTCTAACTGAAAAGGAAGCATTTAATTTCTTTGCCTTTAATTCCCTGTCCAATTTTACCCCCACCAGACTTTTTTCTTTACTGGTCACTAGAGAGTTTGAACTGTTAGAAATTTCTGTGATATAAATAGCAGTAATAGTCTTCCAGGGCAGAGGTAGTTTGGTTGTAAGTGTGTGTGTTGTCATTTGTCCCATCTATTATCGTAACCATCAGTGGTACTCAAACCTTTTGGTCTCAGGACCTTGCTATGTTCATGAAAGTTATTGGGATCCCAAGAGCTTTAGTGTTTGTGGGTTGTACTTATCTATATTTACCATAGTAGAAATTTAAACTGGGAAATTAAAAAAACTTACTTGTAATTCATTTTTAAAAACCCTACTTGTTAATCTAAATAACATTTCTTGTGGAAAAGAACTGTTCTCCAAAAGAATGAAAAACTTGGTGAGAAGAGTGGCATTGTTTTACATTTTTGCAAATCTCTTTAATGTCTGGCTTAATAGACAATGGGCTTAACGCTTCTACATTCAGTCTGTTATGGTATCACACATATAGCCTCTGGAAAAAGAGTAAGTGAAAAAGACAAATAACTTTTAAAGTTATTATGAAAATAGTTTTGACCTTGCAAAGTCCTTTTAGGAGATTAGGACCTCAGTTGTCCCTGGACCACACTTTGAGAATCACTATATTAATCGATCTTATGCATAGAATGTCTGAGACTTTCTTTTTTTCTTTAGTCAGTTCCAAGTTTATAAAATAAGATAAACTCATCAGTATTTCTTTCCTAGTAGTATAAGTATGCCTTGTCATTTAGTTTAATTTGATTTGGTTTCCCTTTTCAAAAACCTATCATTTCAAATTCTGAATGCCAACTATGGAATATATATGCATACAGGTTTATAAACTATGATTTCCCTTAATCTGATGATCTGTTTTGAAAAGTGAGGATACAGAATTTCTGTACGTTGGACATTTTGTATGTTAGTAAATATTTTTTTCAAAGTCCCTTAATGGAGTCCCACCCCAGCCCTCAGTGATTTATAGTTCTTACTTGAGTTTTGTTTCATTTTACAATTAGTTTTTAAACATTATTTATTTCTTAAATTGCTGTAACTATTGATTTAGAGAATTCTTATGCATGAAGTTTTGTATGTTTTTGTATTTCTCTTACAGTTTGCTTTTTCTAGCTCCTTTTTATTTGCTTATATATGTGTTTTTGTGTATTTTAACTTAAGCTTTACTTTTTTTTTTCTTTGTAACTTCCAGGGTGTGTATTGTGAACAAGTTGGTTTTGTTTCACATGTTCATTTATAAGTTTGGTTGTTTGATGTCTTAAACATTGATGTTATAGATTCATGCTGTCCAACAGAATTGAATGCTAGTGACATATATAATATAAAATTTTCTTGTAGCCACAGTTTAAAAAAAAGTAAAAAACAAGTGAGATTCATTTTAATATATTTTATTTAACCTAGTACATCCAAAATATTATTTCAACATGTTTTCAGTATAAACATTTGTATAGTGAAATATTTCACATTCTTTTTTTTTTTTTGGACTAAGTCTTCAAAAATCTGTTGTCCATTTTATACTTACAGCACATTTCAATTTGGGCTAGCTACATTGGCTTCCATGTTGAACAGCACAGATACAGAGGAGAGTAACTACTCTGGGTAGGGCAAAAAAGCCCGAGGAGCCCCAAAAAGCTAGAAAATTATACTTGTGTGATGAGAAAAAATGGAAAACATTGTCACTGCAAAATAAGGTTGTGTTTTGACTACCAGTACATCTAATCCCTTACAGAATTACATTATGATAAACGCTAGGGAGGTGTGGGGTCTATAGAGAGGACTTGGAGGGGTGTTGTTCCTATGGTCTTGTGTGTGATAAGCAGCACTGGGCAAGAGCTGGGACAAGGGAAGCCAGCATTGATTGACCTCCAGTGGGGTACCTTGCTCTGGGCTAGACATTTGACTTAATGTTAATTCATTTAATTACCACCCCAACTAAAGATTATGATTATTATTCCTAATATACGGACGGAAACTGAGGTCAGGAAGTTAACTAAATTTCTCCGTGTTACACAGATGGTAAGTACTGGTAAGCTCTCTGATTTCAAAGGTATTGCTTGTCTAACCGCAGTATTTGTGTGTGTGTGTGTGTGTGTGTGTGTGTGTGTGTGTGTGTTTTGCAAATCAAATTCTGGTCTTGACTCTCTTTCTAACTAGTTGTATGACCTTGACGAAAGAATTCACCTGTGGACCTTAGTATCTTCATTAGTCTGGTTAAAGTTGATCTGGGTCCTGAGAGACTTTTCTGAGAGGATGGACTGGGGTTTGAAGTGCTGGTGCTGGGGAGAAGCGTTTCTCCAGAGTTTACTGAACTGTTTAAAGGGTCAGGTTTATTATATTGGTTCCAGTAGCACCATGAAGGGGTCGAAAAATAAGCCCTAATGTTATGATGTACTTAAGGACCGTATACTGTTGCAAGTCTTTACATGTGTTAACTCATTTAATCCTCACAGTCACCTATGAGGTAGGTTCTATTAATATTAATATTCCCTTTTCACAGATGAGGGCAGTAGAACACAGAGAGGCAAAGTAGCTTGCCACAAGGTCACAAAGTTAATAAGAAGTAGAACCAGGATTGAAACGCAGGTATGTGACTCCAGACCTGTACTCTTAACTCACTACTTCTGTTTAAGGACTTATATATCATGTTGGTTGGTTAATCACTGAGTATTTTATCACTTTCTACTTGAACACATGCTTCCAATAAAAGTTTAACATACTGTTGCTGCTCTAAATCTGTTAGTTTTATTGATAGATGCATCAAGCTTTTTCATGTAGAGAAGTTACTGTGTATGTCCCAGCTATCACAAATTAGCTTTAGAAATCAATTTGGATCAGATAAACTTCACAAATGCATTGCTAAGACTTGAAAAGTAGCTATAGTTTGTTTGTTCTGCATATCTCTGTAAGTGCATTATACATCTGTAAGATCATATAAATAGAATAAATGAGAATTTTATGATTAAAAATTTTTAGAGATCATCTTGTTGAACGTTCTCATTTTACAGATGCAGAGATAAGACCAAGAAAGTTTGAGTAACTTAAAGTATAGTCATTTCTGTCCTAAAACTGTGCTAGTTAGGAACCTTGGTTATACATAGGAGAAAACCTACTTAAGATAGTAAAAAAGGGAGAATTTATTCTAAGAATGTAAGGATTTCTCTCAGAACCCAAGGGCAGAAATAGGGCTAGGCCTAGGAACTGGAAGAATGAAGGCTTTAGGGAGTACTCCCTATCCTCATAAGTTGGTTTTATTCTAAGTTGACTGACTTTTTTTTTTTTGGTCTGTTAAAATTATTTTATTAACAAAAAGAAAACAGCCTGTTTTAAATGGGCATTCTTACCACACACACACAAACACACACAGATGGTCCCCAACTTATGATGATTTGACATAGATTTCTCAGTTTTATGATGGTGCAAAAGTGACATCACCCAGATCTTGGTTTCTAATACCATTCTCCAATAGAAGAAACTAGGGGTCTTTGGAGAAATGGCTGATTCTAAGACTGTGCCTTCCTTTTCTTTATCGTACACCATCTTGTGCATCCTCCATCTTGTGCAGAGCCCTTTGCCAGGAGACGACCTTCTCTAACCTCGCTCACGGTGTCCTTGCCCCCTTCATTCCCTGCGGTGAGTGGGACCTGGAGGAATCCCAATGGGAGAAGAACTCTGGTGCTCGCGCGGGGAGGGGGCTGGGTGGGGGGGGGTGGGGAGCAGCGGCACAGGCGACTGACTCGCTGATACTCAGCTCACGTGGCACGCGCAGGTTGGTGCCCACAGCTGCTGTTTAACATGTTCCAGGTCAAACTACACAGTGCATACCTCTTTCTTTTCCCTTACTTTCTCTCCTGTTTTCTAAATTTTTGACAAAAGAGCGTTCATCTTGATTCATATTTTCCACCTGGGTCTGGCCATATGTGACTGGGATCGGGATCGCAGAGTGGAAGCCTGTCTGCAGTGAATCCCCCCTCAGTGGGCTGTGGGTGCCCAGAGGTGAGCGGGTACTATATTTACATATTTAGGATCTTTTGACTCACAGGATGCCAATCCTTCTCCTCTTTTTTCTTCTTGCTTCTTTGCCCGTTGATGTCTCCACCCTAGTGTGTGGAAACTCAATTGGTTTTTGTTTTTGTTTTTGTTTTTGAAAGCATAGTATCTCTTTGTAAAAATTTCTTCTGGATGGAACTTTTTTCAGAAAAGTGAATATTATTTGTTTGAGACTTCATCAGATAGTGATAACTTCAATATAAAAGGTTACTTTAACAAGAAGTGAAATATATGGTATTTTAGGCACTGTCGAACTAACAGAATAATGAAACACAAAGCAGTCTACTGTCAAGTAGATGAACACTGATGGGCAGCCTTCTGTTAGTAAATCTCCAGTGAATATGTCCCATACATCTTGAAGAGTCAGAGTGATCATTGGCATCCATAATGATCCTGAGAAAGATAATGAAATTTCAAAATTTTCATCCAGTTTGTTACTTTATTCTAATTATTTTGAAAGTTGATAATTAGTGTGGTATTGATAGCCCTCCACTAACCAGAATGTGTGATTGATTATTCAGATACCACACTGTATGCTGTTTCTTTTGTTCCCATTTTGTATTTGTGAACCTATGCCTCATATCACTTGGAAAGCTCTAAGCTCATTAATTTTACCTTTAAAAACAGTACAGGGAAAAAAAAACCTGATAGCTTATTTTAATCCCAAGTATGTTAATAAAGTAGTTCTGCCAAGCATTCAATACAGAGTAAAATATTTCATATCTGTTTTCCAGATTATAGACAACTCTCTTGTGTTCTACCTTTCCAGAGTGAAAGCATATAGCTTTTGGATTAATGAAGTACTGATTAAAAATTTGATATTAATTTCATCTTATGAATACTTTGCTGTCTTAGTTAAGTGAACTTATGTGGTACAATCAATAAGACTTAAAGGTAAGTTAGGGACAAATGGGGAGAAAGAGGTACCTAGAATGTCTCTTGATAAGACGGGAAATACAAAAGAACTGATTGGGGGGGAGGATATAATTATGATTCCATCTAGACATATTTTGAGATCCCTGTGGGACACCCAGAAGTGTCCAGTTGGTGATTCACTATTTAGAGTACTGATGTAAGCAGAGATAGGCAAGGTAATGGTAAAGGTAGGTATTAGTGAAAAACATGGGTTTAGATGAGATAATTTAGGAAGAAGGAGTGCTTAGATGAGATGAGAAAAGGGTGCAAGAACAGAATCCTGGGGAATACCAGTGTTTAAGGAGTAGCTAGGAATAGGGGGTAGCTCAAGGAAAATGAGCTTAGGAAGGAGACTGAGAAACAAGTAGCCCAAGAACAGAAAGAGAATTGGGAGAATGGTGTAATGAAGATGAGAGAGTGTTGAGATGAGAGACTGCGTCATGCTATGCTGCGGAAGGATCCTGAGAAATAGGGACTGGGATGTAACTATTGGATTTGGCAATTAAGGATTTTTTTTAGATTAAAAAAAAACATTTATAAAACAATAATACACTTTCATTGCAGACAGATTAAAAAACAAATTAGTCGGGGGGCGGGGAGTAAAACTACTACTCTACCATCCCAAGGTAACCATTTTTAACATTTTGGAATTATCCTTTCAGACATTTATTTGTTTATTTATTTATAAAAGAACTTATTTTTAGGGGGGAAGGGAGGGAAAAAGAGAGGGAGAGAAACACCCACGTGAGAGAGAAACATCAGTAGGTTGCCTCTTGCATGCCCCCAACAGGGGACCTAGTCTACGTCCCAGGCATGTGCCCTGATTAGGAATCAAACCAGCAGCCTTTAGGTTTGCAGGACAATGCCCAACACACTGAGCCACATCGGTCAGGACCAGACTCTCTTTAATTAGCAGTTATTCGTTAGATGACATCGGGCTGGGATAACTACAGAATACATGGGTTAATATGTCAAGAAGTACAGAATGTTGTAGACAACATATCCATGAAACAAAGCAGTAAAATCTAGTGATAGCCTTCTCACAGGAGCGGAGAAGTAGTGTCTTTAGCATACCCGTGGGAACTGCCTTTTCACTCTTGGCAGCTGAAGGCTCTGCCAAATCCAGGGTGCAGAGATGATTCCTGAAAGGCACAAACCTCCATACTGACATAATGCCCGGCATACAGAGATGCTCTTTCTTTTAGTAAATAAAGGGGGAGGCATTGGTAATCGCGTGGTGAGATGGGTGGTGACGGTTTCCTTCAGGGATGTAGAGCAAGTGACTTTGGTGCCCGTTGCTTCACTGGAGGGCTCGTGGTCCAAATACCCAGCCAGGGAAAGGAGAGAGCTTGGGAAATAGGGTGTCACACCAGATGGTCTAAGCTGGGGAAGGACAGAGGTAAAGTTCTGAGATGATTGACCAAGTGAAAAGAGGGGGAAAGTTTAAGACAGAGAATGAGCAGTTGACAGTTAACAGTTTCAGATGTGGACCACTTCTGGAGTGTGGTGAAGTCCACCAGGTTTGGGAATAAGGTTTTAAAATGGAAGAAGGTGGAAGGTTTTAGGAGTTGAGGTGGTCAGGGACTTTTGATTCTTGGTTTTTGGGTGAGTGAGCTTACATGAGCAGTAAAGAGGTGTGGAAAATGACTTAGCTAGGTGCCAAAGTCGTCAGGAAATGTGGGAGAGAGATTGAATCGGATATGTGTATATGGTAGATAAGTGGCAATGAGAAATGAATGATGGATTTTTATCGGAGTGAAAGGCCATGTTTTAGAAGAAGGACAATAGAGAAGAGAAGATTTAGAAGGTAGGGTTGTAAGCTATATATAGGAGAGCATTTTTTTTCTATGAAGAAGATAGAAAAGTATTTTTCTTATTTAAGTCAGCCTGCAGGGAAAACTTTCTGTGACCAGCATGAGCCTATAGGCGAGTTTGTTTACACTGAAGCAAGATTCCACCGGACACAGTGGAGAGGGTTGAGAGGAAATGAGGGGATGGGAGGAAGGGTCGTTGAGGAGGAAGCTCAGAGCTGTGTGAGGATGAGAGTTGAGAGGATAGATGGTCTGGGGTGGGGTTGTGTGCAAAGGAGAAAATGACTTCATAAACAGTCTAATAGACTGGATTAGTTTATTCTGTTTTACTTAAGTATAATTTCACTATCTTGGCTTCATTTCTCTGATATGCAAAAATGTGGTTTAATATCCTTTAAAATTACATACTTTATAAGCAATGATCACTTTTTAAAGATAAGGTTAATGAGGTAAGTAAAAAGAAAAAGATAAACCTCAATATTTCTTGAATGCCCACTACCCAGGGACATCATTTTGGTGTATATTCCTCTGGACTTTTTCTCATCTGAACAAATAACATGTGTATTTAATTTTTGAAAATATACTGAGTATATTGCAGTTGCCTGCTTTTTTCCACCATAACAATGCCTAATAAATATCCTTTGTCAGAATAGGTAGATTGCTGCTATCATTTTTGGTTGTTACAGCAATCCATTATAGGAATGTACCATATTTATTTAATAATCTATTATTGGGCTTTTGAATACTTTCCAATTTTTTATTATAAATAAGGCTAGAAAGAAAAACCTTGTGTGTACAGCTTGGCATATTTATCTGATTCTTTCTTTTGGTTCTAGGAGCTTTCAAGGTCAACGGTGTACTTTTGGTTTAATTTCTTTTCTGTCTCCTTTTCTATGTCATAACTTAGTATTTGAGGAATTCTCTTTGTATTGTTATTTTGGGGACATGTTTAAATATATTGGGTGAACAGTATAAAATCAACGGGATAGACATATTACTGTTTGTAAGTTGTAACAATTTACCATTTTTGGTAGATGTTTAATAAATTTTTTCCTGAGGTAGGGAAGCCAAAAACATTGGCTTGCAAATCTTAAGTTATCTTTCCCCAAAGGGCTTGTACATTTACGACCTAGGCAGTGGAATTGAGATAATTATAAAAATTGTTTAAGTTCTAGGTTAATAATGTCTTCAGAATGCATGGAAATGATTAACACAGTTTTCTTTGATTACTTTTCCAGGTGATTCATGGCAGGGGACATGGAAGGATTCTGTTCCTCCATCCATGACACCAGTGTCTCTGCTGGGTTCAGAGCACTGTATGAGGAGGGACTGCTTCTTGATGTCACTCTGGTTATTGAAGATCATCAGTTCCAGGCCCATAAAGCACTCTTGGCTACCCAGAGTGATTACTTCAGAATTATGTTTACTGCAGACATGAGGGAGCGTGATCAGGACAAAATTCACTTAAAAGGTCTAACTGCTACTGGTTTCAGCCACGTCCTTCAATTTATGTACTATGGAACTATAGAACTGAGTATGAATACTGTTCATGAGATTCTTCAGGCTGCCATGTATGTTCAACTTATAGAAGTGGTGAAATTCTGCTGCTCTTTCCTGTTAGCGAAAATCTGCTTAGAAAACTGTGCAGAAATCATGAGACTCTTAGATGATTTTGGTGTAAACATCGAGGGAGTCAGGGAGAAGCTGGAATCCTTTCTGCTAGACAACTTTGTGCCACTCATGTCCAGGCCTGATTTCCTGTCTTATCTGAGTTTTGAGAAGCTCATGTCTTATTTGGATAATGATCATCTGAGCAGGTTCCCAGAGATAGAGCTGTACGAGGCTGTGCAGTCTTGGCTGCGGCATGATAGAAGACGCTGGAGACATACCGATACCATTATTCAGAACATCAGGTTTTGTTTGATGACCCCATCCAGTGTCTTTGAGAAGGTTAGTACATTTGAAAGCAATAGAAGGTACTCATTTAGTTAAGGCAGAATGTCTTTATAGATAAGATTCCCAGGCTTGGTCAGTAGCCAAAAAGAGAATGAATAGTTGATAAGAATAGTTTATATATAAAAAGCCTAATTTGTTTTAGCTTGTGCATTTAGGTTTTTTAAAGCACATTTTGTGGATGAAAGAAGAATCAGGTAGGTAGTAGAGTGCTTTCATTTTAATACATTTTTTAAACATTTTATTTATTTACTTTTAGAGAGAGGGAAAGGGAGGAAGAGAGGGAGAGAAACATCAATGTGTGAGAGATACATCAATTGGTTGCTTCTTGCATGCCCCCAACTGGGGACCTGGCCCACAACCCAGGCATGTGTCCTGACTGGGAATTGAACTGGAGACCCTTCACAGGCCGGTGCTCAATCCACTGAGCCACACCAGCCAGGGCGGAGTGCTTTTATTTTAAATGTACTTTTTAAATTGAAGTATAATTATTTAGCCCAAAAATATTACAAGTTTGCTTTATCTTGTCTTCACAAATTAAATCTGAACTGTGTGAAGCTTGTTCTCTTTCTAAAAAAATTAAAGTAGTACATGCTGAAATTAGAGTTGAGTTTTATAGTTCTGAATGATATGCATTAATACAGATTCATATTCCTCTAAAATATGGTAAGGAAACATAAAATAGCTCCTGAAAACCAATAGGTCCTAGTTATGATTTTTCTCCCCTGCTCTTTTCCTCATTTCACTGTGCATACTAACTAAATTTAACCATGAAAGTAATGTTTATGTCTAAATCCGTTGTTTTGGCATTTCTAAACAAATAGATTAGAAATCCTCTAGCTACATCGATCAAACTGCACATTTTACCATGTAACAGTTCTGCTTTCTTAAAAACAGTCTTTCTCCAAAACAGTCTTGGCCTTTTTGTATGTAACATTTTTCATCTTTATATCAGAGTCTCACTTGTGATTCTTTCTTGCCCAAAGGAGAGCAAGCAGTTTCAGTAATTGCTTAACTTAATTGGCTTCTAATCACATGGTTACCTCTGGGGCTCTTTATCTCTTAAATCTTTTCTTCTTTCTAGACAGTATGGGGAAAGCTTTGGTCAACACCCTTCATGTTAAATAGTTCTTAAGCTTTAGTTACCGAACCTGGTGATTATAATATTTGCAAAAGAGGGCCAGTTACACCATTTGAAAAATGACAGATTTGCGCCTTCAAATAACACTCAACAGCCTGACATGTTCTGTTCCTTCTGAAATACTATTAACTTATGCTTTTAATAGAGAACTCAATTTTATGGGATTTTATCTTTATTCTCAGAAAGTACTGATAAGGCATAAATAATTGAAACTTTGAAGAATACATTTCTTAATTATTTTTGTTCAGTGATAATCAGTCCTACACCAACTATGTAAATCATTTGTTTTGATTTTTTTCCTTTTACCGTTTTTTTTTTGCTCTCTTTCCCTGGGGAATCCTGTTTTGTCTTTAATACATTAAATACAAATGCTTTTCACTACTAAAACAAACAAAGCCCTCCAAATAGATGGAAGTACTTGTGAAATAGAAAGTAAAATTTCCCCTCTTGTGGGACAATATTATGGATAATTGATAGCAGTAAATGATTTTTAAGTGCTGAACTGCAAAACCTTTTTATATTCCAATGATCAGTTCAAGGTGGTCAGTAGTGACAGTGCCTGCAAGTTAATACCATCAGGTAGTTTTGTAAATCATATAAAATATCAGTTGTACGTTCTGATGGATTGTTTGAATCTGTAGCATGGGAGGTGGTTATTACCCATTGGTCAGGGTATTGGGAATCTCATCAGAATGAAAATGTTGTTAAGGCTTCCTTCTTGAGTTAATTTCTTGGGAAAACTTAATAAGGCCCTGGCCACAGAGAAATCTTTCAGTTTTATTTTAGTAATACTGATAAGACAAATGGAAGGTAGTCAGTGATTCTTGTCTTAGTATGTGAGAGTTAATGTTTATCAAAGCAATCTATGGCTTTCTAAATGTTGAGAAACACTAAGTTAGCTAGATTTGAGACCTTATCTCTAGTAATGAAACTTCAGAAACAAAACTAAAATGGAAAATTTGGTTTGGAAGTAAGAATTCAGACTATTTTACATCAAAATACAGGGTGGGCCAAAAGAGATTTGCAGTTGTCGGTACATAAAACACAGTTTATTCTTGTATTATTATTTATTAAATTATTGTATTTCCATACAAACAACCGTAAACCTACTTTTGCCCAAACTCTGTATTTTGAGCTTGAAAATAGAGTCCATCTATTTTGCCTATGCTCAGCACACTGCAGGTTTTAAAGAAGGCCATTTTAATATCCATTATAAATGCTCAGTGCCAGAAGGGGCACAGAAATAAAGACATGTTACCTCTGTGCTAGTCCTTTTTTGGTATGAGAATCTACACGGGGAAAAGTAGGAAGTTTTGATTTGTGATTTTATACTATTTGCTGAAATTTAGAAAAATGTAATATTGACATGCACCCTTTTCTTTTAGCTTTATGTTTTTTAAAGCTTTGTATTATAAGACTTGCTTTCTTAAAAGTATATTTTATTGATTTTGCTATTACAGTTGTCCCAACTTTTCCCCCTTTGTCCCCCTCCAGCCAGTATTCCCCTTCCCTCTAGCAGTTCCCTCCTTAGTTCATGTCCATGGCTCATGCATGTAAGTTCTTTGGCTTCTCCATTTCCTATACTGTTCTTAACATCCCCCTGTCTGTTCTGCACCTACCAATAATGCTTCTTAATCCCTGCACCTTTTCCCCCATTCTCCCTTCTCCCCCTCCCAGCTGATAACCCTCCATGTGATCTCCATACCTATGATTCTGTTCCTGTTCTGCTTGTTTGCTTAGTTTTTTTAAGATTCAGTTGTTGATAGTTGTGAATTTGTTGTCTTTTTAATGTTCATAGTTTTGATCCTGTTTTTCTTAAATAACTCCCTTTAATATTTCATGTAAAAATGGCTTGATGATGAAGAACTTTAGCTTTACCTTGTCTGGGAAACACTTTATCTGCCCTTTAATTCTAAATGATAGCTTTGCTGGATAGAGTAATCTAGATTGTAGGTCCTTGCTTTTCCTCACTTTAAATACTTCTTGCCAGTCCCTTCTAGCCTGCAAAGTTTCTTTTAAGAAATCAGCTGTCTTATGGGAATGCCTTTGTAGGTAACTCTCTGCTTTTCTCTTCTAAGATTCTCTCTTTATCTTTAACTTTGGCATTTTAATTATGATGTGGTCCTGTTTGGGTCTATCTTGTTTGGGACACTCTGTGCTTCCTGGACTATACGTACATTTCCTTCACCAAATGAGGGAAGTTTTCTTTCATTATTTTTTGAAATAAGTTTTCTCTTGCTCTTCCTCTTTTTCTTGCACCCCTACGATTTGGATGTTGGTAGGTTTGGAGATGTCCCTGAGGGTCCTTAGGCCCGCCCTCCTTGTTGTTGTTGTTGTTTTTTTGAAGATTTTATTTATTTTTAGAGAGGGGGAAGGGAGGGAGAAAGAGAGAGAGAGAAACATCAATATTCAAGAGATACATCGATCGCCTGCCTCCTGCATGCCCCCATCTGGGGACCTGGCCTACAACCCAGGTATGTGCCCTGACTGGGAATTGAACTGGTGACTTTTTGGATTGCAGGCCGGTGCTCAATCCACAGAGCCACAACAGCGAGGGTTTTGTTTTGTTTTGTTTTGTTCTGTTTTTTTTTTAAATTCTTTTTTTCTTGCTATTCTGATTATATGCTTTTTTTTTTCTTCCTTGTTTTCCAAATCATTGATTTGATTCTCAGCTTCATCCCCTCCACTGTTGGTTCTCTGTAGATTTTTCTTTATTTCACTTAATGTAACCTTCATTTCTGCCTGGGTCTTTTTTATGCTGTTGAAGTACCCGGTGAGTTCTTTGAGCAGCCTAATAACCAGTATTTTGACCTCTACCTCTGATAGGTTGATTACCTCTATTTTGTTTAGTTCTTTTTATGGAGTTTCGTTTTGTTCTTTCATTTGGGCCATATTTCTTCATCTCCTCATTTTGGCAGCCTCCCTGTGTTTGTTTCTGTGTATTAGAATTGCTTTGATTCCCTGTAGCAGTAGCATGGCCTATTGTAGAAAAGCACACCTGTATGGGGCAGAGCCTTAGGTAATCACCAGGGTGGGGCAGTCCGTGTCACCACTCTGGCTCTGTGTTGGGGACAGCTTGCAGAGGGGACAGTGCTTTTGCCTGGTGTCTGGAGTTTTGCCCTGGTGTCTGGAGTTTTGCCCAGGAGGAAGCTGTCTCCCAGTACTTGTCCTGATGCCAGTCACTTCAGTTTCTCCCTGTATGCAGCTTGTGCCCTTCCAGCTGTTTCCCTGGTGCTGAATCCCAGAGGGAGTGAATCTGTGTAAGTCCTATGTCAGTTTGGGGCCCTTTAAGGGGAGTCTTCTGAGAATGCGCAGTTTCTTCTGCTGCCCTAACCTCCACTGGTTTTTATAGCCAGTAGTTATGGGGACTTACCTTCCTGGTGTTAGGACCCTGAGCTGAGTGGCCTGGTCTGGGGCTGGGATCCCTCTCAATTTTTATCCACCACACATGTATGTGGGACCACACGTGTATGTGGGACCACCCGCTCTGTGTCTCTGCGCCTCTCTGCCCCTCTTACTTGAAGAATTTTTATTTATTTTTAGAGAGACAGGGAGTGAAACATTGATTGGTTGCCCCCCTGCACACCTCCAGCTAGGGACCTGGCCCGCAACCCAGGCATGTGCCCTGACAGGGAATTGAACCTGCGACTTTTTGGTTTGCAGGCCGGCACTCAATCCACTGAGCCACACCTGCCAAGGCTGAATGTGGCTTCTTTAAATCCTTGGTAGTTGGATTTCCATACTGCTCGATTTTCTGACACTTCTGGGTGATACTTGTTTTGTATTCCAGTTGTAATTTTTGCTGTAGTTGTGTGAGGAGGCTAAACATGTTTACCTATACCTCCATCTTGCCTGG